GTAGGAGTAGGCCAGAAAAGAGTTGCTGTGAATAGAGCCCATTGAGCAGATTCAGACTCACAATGACCCTGTGTGTCCGTAGAACTGCCTGCCCCATGGGTTCTGGAGGCTGCGATCATTATGGGATCACTCTTCCTCCTTCTGCAAAGCCGCTGGGTAGGTTTGAGCTGCAACTTTTTGACTGGCAGCTGAGTGTTTGACTGTGGTCCCCACAGTCTAGTATGAGATGCGTATGCTGGGGCTGTGCTGAGTTAGACCCAGAAGCACAGAAGACTGCCCCATCAGTCCTTCCATATTTCCTAAGTACCTCACAAGTGTCTGGGAAGAAGGAAAGGAATATCAAGATATGTCCTTGTATTCGAAGACTCACAGCCTGCTGAGAAAGAGATCAATACACAAATAAATGTAGTGTGAAGGGTTCTCACTATGTACAAAGAGGGTCATGGTGGGTCGGAGTGAGGAACAGGTTTTAAGAGTGAGACTATCCGAGTGAGAGACTAACTCTCTGTAGGAGTGTCAGAGGACGTCCTGTTTCACAGAGGATGTAAGAAGTACCATGCAGATAAGGAGAGAAAACTGGCCCTCACATTGAGATACTTTCAAGGCTCAGGAGCAAGGAAACACTCCTGGTGGCTGGAGAATTGTGGACCGTGGACACTTAGTTGACGCAGACATTGGGGTCTGATTGTGAAAGGCCATCTTTGCCAGTCTCTGAGTCTGTATTGGCTCTTGGACAAGTGCATTCTTTCCTAAAGTAGTGACTTCCCTAGAAACAGTCCCATTGGCCCAAGGGTGAATATTTTCATCTGTGGGTTTTTTTGAATCAAAAATATAACAAGGTCATAATTAAGCTGTTCTTGAAATGGCATCATCACAGATCCCGGAAGCATTTCTTTTCGGAGCCATTGCCGGGGAGAGAACAAAACCAAGCAGAAGCACGAGCCTTGGACTTCACTTCCACGTAACCTCCTTGTGTGCTTTGCTCACCAACATCAGTTTAGTGTGAGCGAGCAGCGAGTCCACCCTTTCACCATGATTTTAACATGTCTCTACTTGTAGCAGCATATTGTATTCCATTTGTATACACTTTATTACATGCTGAGGACATTTCTCTACATGACCAGCCTCTTAATGATATGGATTTATCTAACGAGAGTCATGGCTACCCTTATCACATCCCAGCATTGTAGAATTGAAAGATTCCCTGAAATTTAGTAATCCATATCCTCACCCTTTTATGAGACTCATTGCAGGAAAAAATAAAGCAGAAATAAAGAAAAGAAACACCCCCAAGCAAAATAGATAACCTTTGCTTGAATATATGTCATAGCAACCCTGTACAATAGAACAGACTGAACTGCCTTTGTGGGTTTCCAAGACGGCAAATCTTATGGGAGTGAAAACCTCATCTTTCTCTCTCAGAAGGGCTGGTGGCTTTGAACTGCTGACCTCATGGGTAGCAGCCCAATGCATAGCCCACTGTGCCAACAGGGTATTGCAGACTCCCTTTGAGTCAAAACAATGGGCTTGATGCCGGAGAGTTTTTGTTTTGTTTTGAATATACGTGGAATACATTGCTGAGCATGTCATGTCTGCCCTCTGGAGATGGAAAAAAATGTGCTTTGGTCTCCACTTGTTGACCCCTGGCACATGTCAGGACTGAGAGTCCTTGGTTTTCCAGAGGAATTGATCTTTACATTTCAGAAGTGTCTCTGGTTTCTTCAGGATGACAGGGGTCTTGAGATCACGCCTTCTCTGCTCTGGAGCTGTTCTAAGTCCAGGCCTCTGCCTAGAGTTCATTTTTCTCTGTAGCAACCCTGTAGGGTAGTATAGAACTGCCGCGGAGGGTCTCTACGGCTGGGCATCTTTCGGGAACACATCTTTCTGGAACACAGAGTGGTGGGTGGGGTCAAACTGCCAACTTTTCTGTGTGCAGTAGAGCCCTTTAACCACTGCCCCGCCAGGGCTCCTTTCTAGGGCCAGAGCCATCTGCTAATCATTGACGTGTACACTTTCATCAGTTTGTTGTCATTGATTCTAAACTTTGGGATACCTCTTTGGGCGAGGCTGCAGTGGTCTCCTGACAGGTTGTCAGGAGAGAGCAATCCTTGGAGAAGGGCAGTATGCTTGGAAAAGTGGCGGGGCAGTGCAAAAGAACAAAGCCCTTGACAGATGGATGGACACAGTGGCTAGCTACTACAGTGGGCTCAGACATAAGAACCATTGTGAGGGTGGCGCAGCACCAGGCAGTGTTTCCTTCTGTTGTGCATAAGGTCGCTATGGGTCGGAACGATGGCACCTAACAACAACAATAGTGGTTTAATCCAGCCCCATAGGGGAGATGTGACAAAGTGTGTGTTGTTGTCAACGGAGACGTGTTACTGGCTTCTACTGGCCAAGGATGCCATTAAATATCCTGTAATGCACATGACAGCCCCAGCATAAAAGGTCTATCCAACCCAATGTGACAGTGTGCTGAGGTACAAACACCCTGACGTACAAGGGCATCTATATGGGATTTAACACGAGGGATATTCACATGCATGGAAAACATTTCTAAGACCATGTGAAGTTGGGTAGACAAATCTTCTTAATGTGATTGAAAGATTAAGTTGTATGGTACTTGATGTATAACCCCCATAAAACTATTTAGAAAACCGCATATGAGACTGGGATATGAGTACATCAAGGTCAGAATATGCCGACCACAAGTGTGCTTGCCGGTTCCACAAGCTCTTGGCTACTCAGTAAACCAGAAATGCCAACCTCACTGCCATTGAATCGATTCCGATTCATGTAACCTGTTAGATTTGCAATATAAACATTCCCATATTAGTTAAATATTAAACAAACATTCGTTAAGCTTCTCATTATTTATTCTACGCAGAGCGATGGCTGATGTTGTTGGGATCTGTGGGATAGGGTAGGAACTATGTTAGTTTTCTACCAATTTTACCTCTGGGGAGAAACCACGAGACGCTTGCTCACACTTTGGTCTGAGTTTTTCCGATTAGATGGGTAGATCCTGCACTAGAACTTTCTATCTCCCATCATGCCCTGGTGGCATAGGTAGGCCATTGACGTGCCACTTCTGGATTAGTTTAGGACACTAGTTCCTCTGGTATTTCTGCTGGCTGGCAAGCTCTGCAGACTGAGACCTGTGGATCTGAGTCATAGGAACCCTTTGTCCCTGTGCATATTCTGGTTGACTGATGCTGCATAGGTTTGGAGTATACAGTTCAGGCTTCTACCATCTTCATCAGAGTATAAGAACAATGGAAAATTGCTCTCAAGTGCCATGCAGCGAGTTGGAATCACCTTTTGATTCGCAATGCTTGAATTCTCCTGAATGTCATCTCTTTCCTCCCTCAACTACAGGATGAGGCATGACACTGCACTGTCCCATTGTTGGGTTTGAGCTTTGTAACCTAAGCCTTGTTTTTGTTTTTCTCCAAAGGCGTTTAAATAGAAATCACCTTCAGCTGTTTCCTGAGTTGCTGTTTCTTGGGACGTCTAAGCTCTACAGACTGTAAGTAAACACAGATCATTATGGTTGCTTTGGGGACTAACCTTATGTTTTATTAAATGCGTCCTGGATCTGTTTCCGTGGTCTTTCCTGGAATCTATTCATCAATAGATTCATGGATACGAAATTAGCTTTTGGCTTTTCGTTTGTCCTAAGGAAATATAGGATGGCTTTGCTCGTGCTTCTGATGGCTTATTTTTACTTCTCGGTTAGTGTTTGTTGGTTTATCCATATGTCATTGTCATGATGCCTTTCTTGATGGTTCATGTGATGGTGAGGAGGTTTACTTTATTTTGAGTGAACGCTGAGGGGAAGGGTGGCTACCATGTTTCCTCTTTTAAGATGAAGCTTGCTGGATTTGCTAGTAAATCTTGCAATTCTTCGTGCCAGCTTTTTGGGATAATGTTTGTGCACTTGAGTTGCCATGTGCATTTGTCTGGAAATATAATTGTAAGGCATTTAAAGCAGGCTGGAAATGGCCCTTTTACTGATTTTTTTTTTTTCCTGTTGTGCCGGAATTCCAAACTCTGTCTGCATCATGAATAATTGGAGGGCCAGTTTTTTGTATCAAACACGTCAGAGACCATTAGAAGGAGTGGTTATTTTTTGAAAGGAGCGTAATGTGAACATTAAGCAGAATCAGCCTTTCCTCCCTGGACTGCTTGTTCAGTGACCTCGCTTGTAATAGGGGACACATATCGTGCAGGCTTTTAAAAAGAGAGTTTCAGGCCTATGAGTGGTTTTGTACAGGTGGGAGATAAGCAAAAAAGCGCTGGGAAAGAATTAGTAACAGTGGTTACTGATGTTTATGGATGGCTGGGGAAACAAAACAACAGCATTGGGATGTAGAGAGACCCTGTTTAGAATGGCCCCCACCTGGATAGTGGAGGAGCCCCGAACCTTTGTAGCCAAGATCTTTAGCTGGGACCCGGCCCGGCACCTGAACTCCACACAGAGAAAACCTTCCCAGTAGGCAAAGAGGATGTCGCCGCCAGCTGCCTCCCAGCTCTGCTCTCAGGAGTCTGACTTTCCTGACTAGGTTCCTCTAAGGCAGTGCTTCTCAACCTGCCTGATGCCGACACCTTTTCATACAGTTCCTCATGTTGTGGTGAGCCCCCAACCATAACATTATTTTTGTTGTTACATCATCACTGTCAATTTGCTACTGTTATGAATCGGATGACCCCTGTCAAAAGGGCATTTGACCCCCATGGGGTCGCGGCCCACAGGTTGAGAACCCTGCTGTAAAGCTGGTCAAAGTCACCTAGCAGGATCTTTCCTCTTGTCCCCTGCTGCTGAATGGGCCCAACGTAAGTACCTTTGAAAGAAAAAGAAAAGAAAGCCTGCGGCTGCTTGTTTCAAACACAAAGTCTCAAGAGCCCATTTTGCCAAGGAAATCGGACGTGAGGATTATGTGTGTGTACTGTATAAAAAGAAAGGTTACTGTATAGTAAGTGACTTACTTAAATATTTGGGCTGCATTTCTGGGAAGGGTCCACATGGATGGTTTCTCGCGCCTCCCCCCTTTTTTTAAAATTGTGTCCTGGGTGAACGTTTGCCAAGCGTATTCATGTCTCATTGAACAATGTCTATATGGTCTGTCGTAGGCGTTTGCTGCGGTGCCTCCGTGTAACAGCTTTCTCCCTCTATTTCCTTATTCCCTTTGTTTCTGCCCCTTTGTTTGGGGCATATGTTGCCCTTTTAGTCTGGTCTGGGTGAGGGTTCAGGACCACATACCTCCCTGGTATTCTTTAATCCCATCTGTTGATTGTCTGAAGGGTGACTGTTGGGGTGGGGTTCAGGTCCAGACTGGAGAGGTATCTAAGGCCATAGTCTCTGGCCAGATCTGTCAATCTGTTGTTTTTTGGTTTTTTTTTTAACTGTTCTACATTTTCTTTTCACCCTTTCTTTCCAAGACCTTCTACATCCCTCCCTATCAGAGTAACCAGTCACGGTGTGGGGCACCATCTAGTTCTTCTGGTTTCAAGCTAAGGTAGAGATTGTGGTGCTCATGGTGGACTAGTACTTGGGACTAATTGTTGCCTGGATTAAAACTTTTTTTTTTTTCACTCTCCTTTGCTCTGGATGGGAAGAGAGCAATATTTTACTCCCAGGTATACATTTCAAAAATTATCTTCAAGGGTTGGGGATTGTGGTCTCTGTTACACTGTTTCCTTACTACCCATCTGCATATATTAAAACAAGGCATGGCAGTTAGGGCATCTTCCATGTAGATGTAAAACTAGGATTTAAATGGAAGGAGTGTGCTCTGAAGGTGAAATGATTAAACCCACCACCCGAACTTCCCTTGTGTTCCCCAGGCTGTCACTCTTCAACGAGACAGAATTGACTCCATGGCAGTATGTTTATTTTTTTGTGAGTTTCCCAACTGAGTGATGCTGCCCCCTGAGGAGGGGCTGGAAGGTTCCAGTGTCCGGGCTGCAAAAACCCCTGCTACACGTGCTCCTGGGTTATAGGCAATGATATCAGAGTGTTATTGCCAGGAGCTGTGTGCTGTTCGTTTCCATTGCTGTTTTCCTTGAAAGGAAGCTGCAGGCCAATGAAGTAAGTAAGTTTGGAAGCCTCTGTTCTATTGGACACAGGGATTCTCTGTTTGCTTCTGTTAGGATTTTTATTAACAAGAGATTAGAGAACTTTAATGTAAAACTGAAGCAGACATTGACTATAAGACAATATTAAAGAAAACTTAATTAAAGATCTGTCAGCACCAACAGGGAAAACCAACAGCTAGAACATGTGTCTAGCTTTATTTTGTGCCTGCACGGTGCAACGGATTTCCTCTGGGACGTAGGTTGTGTTTGTTAGATGGGACCGTGTATAAGAGGGGCCACTTGAATCCACTGATAGTCCAAAGGTTGTCTCTTGGGGGCTTACTCTCTGATATTAGGTTTTGACATTGACCGAGGCAGAGGCCGAAGCTCATCAGAAAGGAGGGGTGTGAATTTCACCTTCATCCTCAAACTTCAGGTCACCTTTGGAGCTGAGGAACTGTTGTCTGGCTTGAATTCAATTTAGTGGACTGGAAATAGGACATCTCTCTGGAGAGTATATGTTTCTAAGCTACCATGGCCACTATACATAGTGGCGATTGCTAATTAAATTCATAAAGAGTCTTTAATAAACAAATGAGCAAAATCCCGTGAAGCTGAGGGTCTGGCTAGTGGAATGAGCGTAGGGCTGGAAGTTCGAAATTCTCAAATTCAGATACAGGTGCCTCAGTCGTCTACGGGATGGCTGCGTGTTTTGAGTGAGTAGCTCATCAAGGAAAAAATCTTGTAGCCGATAAAACATGTGTACAACCCTACCTACAGTAAAAGCACATGAAAAAAATTATATCCTCTACTATGTGTATGAAAATAAACCTTTCGTATGACATGCCTGACCAAAAGAATGAATCTAGGACATTTTGAGAAATAGAGGAGGAAAATGTTGAGCTAGGGAAAACATTGGACTGGTTTGGCACAGACTTCTGAAGACATGTGTACTGATGCCGACCATTTAATGCAGTAGAGCCAGGCTAATCTAGAATTCATGCAAGACATCCCCCGTCCCCCATAAAAACCAACCAACCCAAACCTAAAAACTTGTTTTCTGTTATAAATGTTGCACCCTGCCAATGAGTTCCCAAGGGGCTTCTTTTTTTCATGCATGCTATCTCCTACTCCCTCGCAATACTCTCTGTTCCTGTTCTATCGCCAGTGGAAAAGTTTGCCAGTTTCCTATCCTCGTTCATGCACTGAGGTTTGAATGCATTCTTGTTTGCTGCGACGAAAGCTTGCCTGATACCCTGGACTTCTTCACGGAGGTTTTCTTCGCATTTTTATCAAGAATAATCACCATTTGACTCTTGGCTGAAAATGAGATGCCAGGTGAAGGCGCCTACATGCTTTTGTTTTTTTTTGCAGACTCTCAATGCTGTATAAAAGGAAAGGAGGCCGTGCTGTATACGGATTATGATTTGACACGGTTGGTTGCCGCTAGCGGCCAAATCTGCTTTTCCTTTGCTGTCTGATCCAATTTCTCTTTGGACGGGTTGAGAGAGCACTCCGTGTTCAGGTCAAGATGTTTGCTCAGAGAAAGAGTCGTGCAGTTGCAGCTGCGCTTGCTGGAGTTGGAGCCGGGTTTAAATAGCATTACCGTTGATCCAGCCCATTAACAGGACTCTGTAAAACAATAGCAACTCTGCATAAACTCCAGGACAGTGTCATAAAATTACACGCACTTGCTGACACACGGCAAGTGTAAGTAAAGGTATGGGATCGGACGGAGTTTAAAACAGAAGTCAGAGCATTTCCTCAACTTTACTGCTCAACCCTCGCTTTCCTCCTCCTCCAAAGCTCAGGTTGGACTTCCATCCTGCACCGAAGAGGACATTTTATTAAGTGCCTTAAGAAGAGGCTTTTCAGAGCATTCTGGGATGGGGCTTTGCCTAAAGAGAGACTGCTGTGGGTTTTGAAAATGGTGACGATGGATGTTTATGGATAGTGACTGATTGTAATGGGTGGTGGAGACCCATCTTCCTGAGACCATCTATCTTGAAAGCTGGCTTACCGCTTAAGCGATTCGCACCTTTCTACTGGAGTGTGGCACGCTGGCTGGAGAGGAATTTTGCTGGCGGGAGTGTGGTTAGGCATTTGGGTATAAATATTTGCTTTGTGGTTTTCAGTTTATTCAGCTATATATATATTTAGTATTATCATATTTACCCACACTTGTAACACGAGCTGAAATATGCAAATGACTGCAGAAAAGTTTGCTTCTCTCCCTTCTACCCACAAGAAAACAAAACAGAACAAAAACAGGGTCAAATCAAAGCTCTGCGTGCCCTATTGACTGATTTCTCAATAGGTTTTTGTGTAAAAGCTTTTCATTTTCTTTTCAAATGTTTATGAGAAGACTTCAGAAAACGGGAAGAAAATATGGAATTAAAAGATACAGGCATTTTGTTTTGTTTTTTTATGGACATTTTCAGCTACCTCTTA